ATTTGAAATGGAATAGAATTCTGATATTTTAAATAGATATTATAATATTGGAAATGGAATAGAATTCTGATATTTTAAATAGATATTATCATATTTTAAATGGAATAGAATTCCGATATTTTAAATATATATTATAATATTTCAAATTGAAGCATACTGTTCTGTATTACAAGTAGCGAATGCATAGTGTTTTAGGGTTAGTATAAAAGCGTGAGAAACACGTTGAGCTACAGGATGTGGAAAGCCACAGCTTCAGCAGCGAGGGTGGGGGTGATACATTGACAGAATGTTGACAGCCATTTATAAGCCAACTGGTTTCATGATGGATATATATTTTAGATCACAAACTCTACAATGAACAGAAACACACCCAACATACTGTATCTTATAACAGGTCTATGAATTAAGGTGGGTTTAGTACAATGCACAGAAAAGAGGCAAAGTGTTTTGTAATTCATGCTAATTCAACTATAGTTGCCATAAATATACTGTTGCACTGTAAAAAAGCCAACTTAAGCAATTTCTTAATGAGCATTATTCTGTGAGTTGAGTGGACTTCAAAAGGGCAAGAGTTTGAGCTAATGTGTTACAGTTTGTTTACGTGACCCCTAGAGTCCATTGACTCACCGGTGTCAATCTAAACAAAATCTGTCCGTTTAAGCTAGAGATATCTGTGTTTTTGTACAGTATGGGCTGCGTCTCAATCCACCACATCCACCTATGGCGGCTTTTCCACATATGCGATGGAAGGTGGCCGAGCTACAGCGGTGTTTCAGACCATGAGACATCCTGAAAATCTGTCTGCTCACAAAAACGTCTGTAGTGTCCAGTTTTCACACACTGTTGCTGGTATTTTGGCCCATTCCTCCATGCAGATCTCCTGTAGAGCAGTGATGTTTTGGGGCTGTCGCCGGGCAACACGGACTTTCAACTCCCTCCAAAGATTTTCTATGGGGTTGAGATCTGGAGACTGGCTAGGCCACTCCAGGACCTTGAAATGCTTCTTACGAAGCCACTCCTTCGTTGCCCGGGCGGTGTGTTTGGGATCATTGTCATGCTGAAAGACCCAGCCACGTTTCATCTTCAATGCCCTTGCTGATGGAAGGAGGTTTTCACTCAAAATCTCACGATACATGGCCCCATTCATTCTTTCCTTTACACGGATCAGTCGTCCTGGTCCCTTTGCAGAAAAACAGCCCCAAAGCATGATGTTTCCACCCCCATGCTTCACAGTAGGTATGGTGTTCTTTGGATGCAACTCAGCATTCTTTGTCCTCCAAACACGACGAGTTGAGTTTTTACCAAAAAGTTCTATTTTGGTTTCATCTGACCATATGACATTCTACCAATCCTCTTCTGGATCATCCAAATGCACTCTAGCAAACTTCAGACGGGCCTGGACATGTACTGGCTTAAGCAGGGGGACACGTCTGGCACTTTTGTTATTGACCAAATACTTATTTTCCACCATAATTTGCAAATAAATTCATTAAAAATCCTACAATGTGATTTTCTGGATTTTTTTCTCTCTCATTTTGTCTGTCATAGTTGACGTGTACCTATGATGCAAATTACAGGCCTCTCTCATCTTTTTAAGTGGGAGAACTTGCACAATTGGTGGCTGACTAAATACCTTTTTTTCCCCACTGTAACTGTCACTCTGATGTCAGAATACAGTGGGGGAAAAAATTATTTAGTCAGCCACCAATTGTGCAAGTTCTCCCACTTAGGATTTGAGTCCGTGGTGGCGTAGTGTGTTACTTGGGCCGACACCTTTCTCCGTGTATATCAATGATGTCGCTCTTGCTGCTGGTGACTCTCAGATCCACCTCTACGCAGACGACACCATTTTGTATATATCTGGCCCTTCATTGGACACTGTGTTAACAAACCTCCAAACGAGCTTCAATGCCATACAACAATCCTTCAGTAGCCTTCAATTGCTCTTAAACACTAGTAAAACTAAATGCATGCTTTTCAATCGAACGCTGCTAGCACCCGCCCACCCGACTAGAATCACCACTCTCGACGGGTCTGACCTAGAGTATGTGGACAACTACAAATATCTAGGTGTCTGGTTAGACTGTAAACTCAACTTCCAGACTCAGATAAAGAATCTCCAATCCAAAGTTAAATCTAGAATCGGCTTCCTATTTCGCAACAAAGCCTCCTTCACTCATGCTGCCAAACATGCCCTCGTAAAACTGACTATCCTACCGATCCTTGACTTCGGCGATGTCATTTATAAAATAGCCTCCAACACTCTACTCAGCAAATTGGATGTAGTCTATCACAGTGCCATCCGTTTTGTCTCCAAAGCCCCATACACTACCCACCACTGTGACCTGTACGCTCTTGTTGGCTGGTCCTCACTACATGTTCGTCGTCAAACCCACTGGCTCCAGGCCATCTATAAATCACTGCTAGGCAAATCCCCGCCTTATCTTAGCTCATTGGTCACCATAGCAGCACCCACCCGTAGTCTGCGCTCCAGCAGGTATATCTCACTGGTCATTCCCAAAGCCAACACCTCCTTTGGCCGCCATTCCTTCCAGTTCTCTGCTGCCAATGACTGGAACGAATTGCAAAAATCTCTGAAGCTGGAGACTCTTATCTCCCTCAATAACTTTAAGCATCAGTTGTCAGAGCACCTTACCGATCACTGCACCTGTACACAGCCCATCTGAAATTAGCCCACCCAACTACCTCATCCCTATATTGTTATTTAATTTGCTCTTTTGCACCCCAGTATCTCTATTTGCACATAATCTCTTGCACATCTAGCATTCCAGTGTTAATACTTTTGTAATTATTCTGCACTATAGCCTATTTATTGCCTTACCTCCATAACTTGCTACATTTGCACACACTGTATATATATTTTCTGTTGTATCTCTGACTTTATGTTTTTTTTTACCCCATATGTAACTCTGTGTTGTTTTTGTTGCACTACTTTGCTTTGTCTTGGCCAGGTCGCAGTTGTAAATGAGAACCTGTTCTCAACTGGCTTACCTGGTTAAATAAAGGTGAAATAAAAAAATAAAAAATAAAAATTACTGATGGTAGGCTTTGTTACTTTGGTCCCAGCTCTCTGCAGGTCATTCACTAGGTCCCCCCGTGTGGTTCTGGGATTTTTGCTCACCATTCTTGTGATCATTTTGACCCCACGGGGTGAGATCTTGCGTGGAGCCCCAGATCGAGGGAGATTATCAGTGGTCTTGTATGTCTTCCATTTCCTAATAATTGCTCCCACAGTTGATTTCTTTAAACCAAGCTGCTTACCTATTGCAGATTCAGTCTTCCCAGCCTGGTGCAGGTCTACAATTTTGTTTCTGGTGTCCTTTGACAGCTCTTTGGTCTTGGCCATAGTGGAGTTTGGAGTGTGACTTTTTGAGGTTGTGGACAGGTGTCTTTTATACTGATAACAAGTTCAAACAGGTGCCATTAATACAGGTAACGAGTGGAGGACAGAGGAGCCTCTTAAAGAATAAGTTACAGGTCTGTGAAAGCCAGAAATCTTGCTTGTTTGTAGGTGACCAAATACTTATTTTCCACCATAATTTGCAAATAAATTCATAAAAAATCCTACAATGTGATTTTCTGGATTTTTCTTCTCTCAATTCGTCTGTCATAGTTGACGTGTACCTATGATGAAAATTACAGGCCTCTCTCGTCTTTTTAAGTGGGAGAACTTGCACAATTGGTGGCTGACTAAATACTTTTTTCCCCCACTGTATATATATCCTGATCTTTCTTGTATCTCCTAGATATAGGACAGACACTTCAAAACCGTATTCCTTTGATTTATTTTTTGACTGTCTTTTTTGCCATTTATAAATGTGTTATTCAATGTGTTTCTATGGGCTATAGTACTAAAGGCCAAATTCTATATTTTATCAAATCATTGTTTTATATATATATTTTTCGACCTAAAGGGTCCTACAATTCTAAATCAAATAGCTAAATGATCCATCTTAAAACAATTCCATATGTCAGCTTAGAACCCTCCCTCTAAAATTCTAAGTTGAATGAACATACAATTCAACTTGAGAATGTACAGTATGTTGGTTCAGCTACAGCGCCTTCAGAAAGTATTCATACCCCTTGACGTATTCCATATTTTGTTGTGTTACAGCCTGAATTCAAAATGCATTAAACATATTTTTTTTGTACACCCATCTACACACAATACCCTATAATGACAAAGTGAACACATGTTTTTAGAAATATTTTGAAATGTTTTGAAAATGGAATACTGAAATATCTCATTTACATAAGTATTCACACCACCGAGTCCATGCTTTATAGAAGAACCTTTGGCAGCGATTACAGTTGTGAGTCTTTCTGGGCAAGTCTCTAAAAGTTTTCCACAACTGGATTAGGCAAAATTGGCCCATTATTATTTCAAAATTCTTAAAGCTCTGTCAAATTGGTTGCTGATCATTGCAAGACAACCATTTTCAGGTCTTGCCATATATTTTCAAGTAGATTTAAGTCAAAATTGTAACTCGGCCACTCAAGAACATTCATTGTCTTCTTAACACTATTGTACACAGAGTGAGTCCATGCAACTCAATTATGTGACTTGTTATGCAAATTTTTACTACTGAACTTATTAGGCTTGCCATAACAAAGGGGGTTGAATACTTACTGACTCAAGACATTTCAGCTTTTCCTTTTTAATTACTTAGCAAAAAAATTTGAAAAACATAATTCCACTTTGACATTATGGGGTATTGTGTGTAGGCCAGTGACAAAACAATCTGAATTCACTCCATTTTAAATTAAGACTGTAACGTAACAAAATGTTCAAAAAGTCAAGGGGTATGAATACTTTCTGAAGGCACCGTATATGCCCAAATGTTGAGCAAACGCACAATCCTATTGCAGCTGGTTGCCTTACAATTGTACATTGAATCAACATCTATTTATTTTTTACAGTGTTCTTGATAGACTGTTTCATTTTTACATGAAGTTTTCTGTCTGTTTATTTCACAGAGTCCAGCACTGAGACTCTTAAACTGTTTGTGCTGAAGGGACAAAATGTTCGTCTGGATGTCCAGGGATATGCTAAACTAAAAGATATTGATGATTTAAAGTGGACGTTTAACAAATCTCACAATTTAGTAAAATACTTCAATGAATCATCAAAACTGAAAGCATTTCCTAAATACCAAGGCAGGGTTGAGTTTAGTGAGGGAAAATTCTCTGTACTACTGAAGAACCTACAGGAAGGAGACAGTGGACTTTACCATGCAGTAGTGAGTGGTGAAGAAAACAAAGATGTTGCCAAGTACCAGATATCAGTTCATGGTAGGTTTTCCTCCTTCCTTCCCTCCCGCTCTTTTTTTGTATCACTATGGTTACAGAGCTGTAGCAATCAATAGTGAAATGTGTATTCTATCTCAGGTTAAATGTACTCTTAAGGTACAGAAAATGTCAACCACAGTAAATGGTGACTAGAATAATTATCAGCCATTTTGTGTGTGTGTGTGTGTCTGTGTAAATGCGTAGGCGTGCGTGTGCATTTGTGTGTGTTTTCCTAACCATGTCTATTTGTCTGTTTATCTACTTGTTTTCAGAGTTCCGTTTATTTTTTTTTTTTTTACCCCATCAAAGTTGCCCATCCCTTTTGTAGAGCATTGAACAGCCACTGAGAAATATTAAATGTATTGATTTGAGGTCATTAAAGGCCTTGTTTTATACCTGGGTCACCATTCATAAATGTATAGTGAAGTTGTTGCTGTATGTTTTTATTCTCCAGACTCCAGATAACAGTCAAGCAGGTGGTGAAGAGCAGGTGTCTCCAGGTCCTGGTCCAGCATCACCCTCCATCTACAGTATGGTGGGACATTCCAACCCCCAGCCTTTGAACCATCCCACCATGGTGCGAGACCAGCCTCCAACTGTGGACCTCCCCATGAGCCCCATGCCCCCCATGCCTGAGAGTTTATATGCTGTGGTGGGGGAAAAGCCTAGCAAACAATAATCAGGAATTTTAACATCTTAGGCCGGAATTCTATTCAATTTGATTAGATAACCCTTTGTCAGCTAAGCATCTTTTAAAGGTTACCACATTGGCTGAGACAGCATTCACGATAAATGCTGCGTATGTTAGCTCAATTGGAAATTATCTGTAAATGGTGCCTAGATGACAAAGTATGATCACATTGAATTCTTAAAATTGAAAGGCAATTTTCCCGCGGTTTGCAAAGACTGCATTCCCAGAAACAAGATTTTTCTGGTCTGATGAAACCAAGATTGAACTCTTTGGCCTGAATGCCAAGCGTCACGTGTGGAGGAAACCTGGCACCATCCCTACGTTGAAGCATGGTGGTGGCAGCATCATGCGGTTGGGATGTTTTTCAGCGGCAGGGACTGGGAGACTAGTCAGGATCAAGGGAAAGATGAACGGAGCAAAGTACAGAGAGCATTGACGAAAACCTGCTCCAGAGCGCTCAGGACCTCAGACTGGGGCGAAGGTTTACCTTCCAACAGGACAATGACCCTAAGCACACAGCCAAGACAACGCAAGAGTGGCTTCGGGACATGTCTCTGAATGTCCTTGAGTGGCCCAGCCAGAGCCCGGACTTGAACCCGATCGAACATCTCTGGAGAGACCTGAAAATAGCTGTGCAGCGAAGCACCCCATCCAACCTGACAGAGCTTGAGAGGATCTGCAGAGAAGAATGGGAGAAACTCCCTAAATACAGGGGTGCCAAGCTTGTACCGTCATACCCAAGAAGACTCGAGGCTGTAATCACTGCCAAAGGTGCTTCAACAAAGTACTGAGTAAAGGGTCTGAATATATATGTACAGTAAATGTGATATTTCAGTTTTGTATTTTTAATAAATGTGCTAAAAATTCTATAAACCTGTTTTTGCTTTGTCATTATGTGGTATTGTGTGTAGATTGATGAGGATATTTTTTAAAAATCATTTTAGAATAAGGCTGTAATGTAACAAAATGTGGAAAAAGAGAAGTCTGAATACTTTCCGAATGCACTGTATATGTTGTTTTTTATTTTTTCATTTTTTAAAACTCAGTCGGGGTCTTAACTTACTGTTGAAAAAAAATTGAGTTCCGTTTTTGTTCTTTTCTACCCCCATCAAAGTTGCCCATTCCTGTTGTACAGTCACTGAGAAATACTTAATTTATTGATTTGAGGTCATTAAAGACCTTGTTTTTTACCTGGGTAACCATTCATGAATTCATAGTGAAGTTGTTACTCTATGTTTTTATTCTCCAGATTCCAGATAACTGTCAAGCAGGTGGTGAAGAGCAGGTGTCTCCTGGTCCTGGCCCAGCATTACCCACCATCTACAGTTTGGTGGGACATCAACACCCCCAGCCTGTGAACCACCAGCCTCCGCCTGTTGACCTCCCCATGTCCACCATGTCCACCATGCCCCTCATTCCTGAGAGTTTATATGCTGTAGTGGGGAAAAAGACTAGCAAACAATAATCAGGAATTTTAACATCTTAGGCCGGGATTCTATTCTAATTGTATTAGATCACCTGTTGTCGGCTAAGCATCTTTTAAAGGTTCCCGCGTTCGCTGAGACAGCATTCACAATAAATGCTGCGTATGTTAGCTCAATCGGAAATGATCTGTAAATGGTGCCTAGATGGCAAAGTGTGATCGCATTGAATTCTTTAAATTTAAAGGCAATGTTCCCGTGTTCGCGGAGACTGCATTCCCGGTAAACCTTACATATGTCTGCTCAATCAGAAATCACCTTTATATTTAAATCGTACTATAACGCTGATCTTCCGCGGTCCGGATTGAATCTACACCTTACTCTCAATAGCCCTGTTTATACCTGGTTCTAACATGTGTCCAAAATAGGTAGCGTGGACATAGAGTTGTAAGAGAATGAGCAGTGGATATACAAATATACAGTGTATCTGCAGGACAGCAGCATCCCATCCTGCATCCCACTGCTGGCTTGTCTCTGAAGCTAAGCAGGTCCTGGTTGGTCCCTAGATGGGAGACCAGATGCTACTGGAAGTAATGTTGGAGGGCCAGTAGGGGGTACATATCCTCTGGTCTGAAGATCGAATCCCAGGCAGTGAAGGGGGCATACGGCGCTGTCTTTCAGATGGGATTTCAAATCGGTGTCCTGACAATCAATAAACATTCCATGGCACTTATTGCAAGAGTAGGTGTGTTAACCCTGGTGTCCTGGCTAAAGTCTGAACTTGGGCCATGTAATCATCCCCCCTCATTGGCATTTACTCACTTCTCCACCATGCTAGCTAATGTGTGGATGAGGTGAGTTTCCCCCTTACCGATGACGCTCTTTGCAGACAGGAACATTTAATTTATTTTGCTTATTGCGTTTCCATATATAATTTGTACATTCATGTTTTTATTCGTTTACATATTTATTTTAAAGTAAAAAATGTATATTATTTACATTTTAGTAATTTAGCAGACGCTCTTATCCAGAGTGACTTAGATGAGCAATTACGGTTAAGTGCCTTGCTCAAGGGCACATCAACAGATTCTTCACATAGTCGTCTCTGGCATTTTTTATTAGTCCACTGTCTATAAATGTTTTGCATGTCATCAGTCAAGTTTTCAAAATATAGGCTTTTCAAGAAGCAAATGCTGTGTTCAAAACTACTGGGAACTCAGAGAAAAAATTTGCTCCAACTGAGAAAAATACTTTTTGAACAGTCAACCAATTTGGAATTCCAAGTCGGAAACTCTGAAAACTTTCTAAATAATAATAATAGCCATTTAGCAGAACGCTTTTATCCAAAGCGACTTACAGTCATTGTGCATACATTTTTACGTATGGGTGGTCCGGGGATTGAACACACTACCCTAGCGTTACAAGCGCCATGTTCTACCAATTGAGCTACAGAGGACATCAGGCATTCCGACCTGAGATCACTTCACCCCCCCAAAAAGTTGGAGTTCCCAGTTGTCTGAAAGCATCAAAAGTGCCGCTTGCCACATCATCATGATTCTGTGGCAAGTGACACTTTGCTTCTTAAAAGTCCATATATTTAAAGAAAATATTTAACAAAAATGTTTGCCCTGTGCCTATGTGCATTTCCCCAGCAGAGGTCCAATGTTGAACATAATAAAAGACTCATCAGCCACATTTCATCTCAAGCCTTGCTGTGGAAGGATGGTTTTCAAGCAAAAATCTCACGATACATTGGCCCCCATTCTTCTTTCCTTTACAGGTCACGTTCGTCCGGTCCCTTTGCAGAAAAACAGCCCCAAAGCATTTGATGGTCCACACCAGCTTCACAGTAGGGGTATGGTTGCCTTTGGAGGCACATCAGATTCTTTGTCCTCCAAACATGACGAGTTGAGTTTGTACCAAAAAGTTATAATTTTGGTTCATTGACCATATGGACATTATCCAACTCCTCTTTGATCATCTCCAAATGCTACTCAGACGGGCTGGACATGTACTGCTAAGCAGGGGGACACGTCTTGCAATGCAGGATTTGAGTTACCCTGGCGGCGTAGTGTGTTACTGATGGTAGGCTTGTTACTTTGGTCCCAGCTCTTGCAGGTCATTCACTAGGTCCCCCCGTGCGGTTCTGGGATTTTTGCTCACCGTTCTTGATCATTTTGACCAAGCGGTGAGATCTTGCGTGGAGCCCCAGATTGAGGGAGATTATCAGTGGTCTTGTATGTCTTCCATTTCCTAATAATTGCTCCCACAGTTGATTTCTTCAAACCAAGCTGCTTACCTATTGCAGATTCAGTCTTCCCAGCCTGGTGCAGGTCTACAATTTTGTTTCTGGTGTCCTTTGACAGCTCTTTGGTCTTGGCCATAGTGGAGTTTGGAGTGTGACTGTTTGAGGTTGTGGACAGGTGTCTTTTATACTGATAACAAGTTCAAACAGGTGCCATTAATACAGGTAACGAGTGGAGGACAGAGGAGCCTCTTAAAGAAGAAGTTACAGGTCTTTGAGAGCCAGAAATCTTGCTTGTTTGTAGGTGACCAAATACTTATTTTCCACCATAATTTGCAAATAAATTCATTAAAAATCCTACGATGTGATTTTCTGGATTTTTTTCCCTCAATTTGTCTGTCATAGTTGACGTGTACCTATGATGAAAATTACAGGCATCTCTCATCTTTTTAAGTGGGAGAACTTGCACAATTGGTGGCTGACTAAATACTTTTTTTCCCCACTGTATGTTGTTTTTTATTTTTTCATTTTTTAAAACTCAGTCGGGGTCTCAACTTACTGTTGAAAGAAATTTGAGTTCCGTTTTTGTTCTTTTCTACCCCCATCAAAGTTGCCCATTCCTGTTGTACAGTCACTGAGAAATACTTAATTTATTGATTTGAGGTCATTAAAGACCTTGTTTTTTACCTGGGTAACCATTCATGAATTCATAGTGAAGTTGTTACTCTATGTTTTTATTCTCCAGATTCCAGATAACAGTCAAGCAGGTGGTGAAGAGCAGGTGTCTCCTGGTCCTGGCCCAGCATTACCCACCATCTACAGTTTGGTGGGACATCAACACCCCCAGCCTGTGAACCACCAGCCTCCGCCTGTTGACCTCCCCATGTCCACCATGTCCACCATGCCCCCCATGCCTGAGAGTTTATATGCTGTAGTGGGGAAAAAGACTAGCAAACAATAATCAGGAATTTTAACATCTTAGGCCGGGATTCTATTCTAATTTTATTAGATCACCCGTTGTCGGCTAAGCATCTTTTAAAGGTTCCCGCGTTCGCTGAGACAGCATTCACAATAAATGCTGCGTATGTTAGCTCAATCGGAAATGATCTGTAAATGGTGCCTAGATGACAAAGTGTGATCGCATTGAATTCTTTAAATTTAAAGGCAATGTTCCCGTGTTCGCGGAGACTGCATTCCCGGTAAACCTTGCATATGTCTGCTCAATCAGAAATTACCTTTATATTTAAATCGTACTATAACGCTGATCTTCCGCGGTCCGGATTGAATCTACACCGTACTCTCAATAGCCCTGTTTATACCTGGTTCTAACATGTGTCCAAAATAGGTAGCGTGGACATAGAGTTGTAAGAGAATGAGCAGTGGACAGCAGCATCCCATCCTGCATCCCACTGCTGGCTTGTCTCTGAAGCTAAGCAGGTCCTGGTTGGTCCCTAGATGGGAGACCAGATGCTACTGGAAGTAATGTTGGAGGGCCAGTAGGGGGTACATATCCTCTGGTCTGAAGATCGAATCCCAGGCAGTGAAGGGGGCATACGACGCTGCCTTTCAGATGGGATTTCAAACAGGTGTCCTGACAATCAATAAACATTCCAAGGCACTTATTGCAAGAGTAGGTGTGTTAACCCTGGTGTCCTGGCTAAAGTCTGAACTTGGGCCATGTAATCATCCCCCCTCATTGGCATTTTCTCACTTCTCCACCATGCTAGCTAATGTGTGGTGGTGGATGAGGTGAGTTTCCCCCTTACCGATGACTCTCTTTGCAGACAGGAACATTTAATTTATTTTGCTTATTGCGTTTCCATACATAATTTGTACATTCATGTTTTTATTTGTTTACATATTTATTTTAAAGTAAAAAAAATTATATTATTTACATTTTAGTAATTTAGCAGACGCTCTTATCCAGAGTGACTTAGATGAGCAATTACGGTTAAGTGCCTTGCTCAAGGGCACATCAACAGATTCTTCACATAGTCATCTCTGGCATTTTTTATTAGTCCACTGTCTATAAATGTTTTGCATGTCAGCAGTCAAGTTTTCAAAATATAGGCTTTTCAAGAAGCAAATGCTGTGTTCAAAACTACTGGTAACTCAAGAAAAAATTTGCTCCAACTGAGAAAAAAACTTTTTGAACAGTCAACCAATTTGGAATTCCAAGTCGGAAACTCTGAAAACTTTCTAAATAATAATAATATGCCATTTAGCAGACGCTTTTATCCAAAGCGACTTACAGTCATGTGTGCATAAATTTTTACGTATGGGTGGTCCCGGGGATCGAACCCACTACCCTAGCATTACCAGCGCCATGTTCTACCAATTGAGCTACAGAGGACATCAGGCATTCCGACCTGAAGATCACTTCACCCCCCAAAAAAGTTGGAGTTCCCAGTTGTCTTGAAAGCATCAAAAGTGCCGCTTGCCACATCATCATGATTCTGTGGCAAGTGACACTTTGCTTCTTAAAAGTCCATATATTTAAAGAAAATATTTAACAAAAATGTTGCCTGTGCCTATGTGCATTTCCCCAGCAGAGGTCCAATGTTGAACATAATAAACGGCTCCCTATCCACCGGATGTATACCAAACTCACTAAACTTGGCAGTAATAAAGCCTGAAAAAACCAAACCTTGACCCGGAAAATTAAAAAAACGAAATCGGCCTATATCGAATCTCCCATTCATCTCAATTCTTTTTGAAAAAGCTGTTGCACGGCAACTCACTGCCTTCTTGAAGAAAGAATATTGTATATGAAATGCTCCCATCTGGTTTTAGACCCCATCATAGTACTGAGACTGCACTCGTGAAGGTGGTGAATGACCTTTTAATGGCGTCAGACCAAGGCTATGCATCTGTCCTCGTGCTCCTAGATCTTAGTGCCGCCTTTAACACCATCGATCACCACATTCTTTTGGAGAGATTGGAAACGTTAATTGGTCTACACGGACGAGTTCTTGCCTGGTTTAGATCTTATCTGTCAGAAATATATCAGTTAGTCTCTGTGGATGGTTTGTCCTCTGACAAATCAATTGTACGTTTCGGTGTTCCTCAAGGTTCTGTTTTAGGGCCACCATTGTTTTCACTATATATTATACCTGTCATTCGGAAACACAATGTCAACTTTCACTGCTATGCAGACGACACACAGCTGTACATTTTGCCGAAACATGGTGAAGTCCCAAAATTCAGAAATAATTTCAGAAACAAGCATGTGGATGGCGGCAAATGTTTTACTTTTAAACTCGAACAAAACAGAAATGCTAAGTCCCAAGAAACAAAGAGATCTGCTGTTTGATCTGACAATAAATCTTGATGGTTGTACAGTTGTCTAAAATAAAAATGTGAAGGACCTCGGCGTTACAATGGACCCTGATCTCTCTTTTGACAAACATATCACACATTTTTCATGGGCAGCTTTTTTCCATCTTCGTAATGTTTTAAAAATCAGAAACTTTTTGTCCAAAAATGATGCAGAAAAGCTAATCCATGCTTTTGTCACTTCTAGATTAGACTACTGCAATGCTCTACTCTCCGGCCACCCGGAGAAAGCACTAAATAAACTTAAGTTGGGGATAAATACAGCTGCTAGAATCTTGACTGAACCAAACAATTTGATCATATTACTCCAGTGATAGCAACTGGCTTCCTGTTAAAGCTAGGGCTGATTTCAAGGTTTAACTGCTAACCTACAAAGTATTACATTGACTTAGCTCCTACCTATCTCTCCGATTTGGTCCTGCCATACATACCTACACGTACGCTACAGTCACAAGACGTAGGCCTCCTTATTGTCCCTAGAATTTCTAAGCAAACAGCTGGAGGCAGGCTTTCTCCTATAGAGCTCCATTTTTATGGAATGGTCTGCCTAGCCATGTGAGAGATGTAGACTCACCTCGACCTTTAAGTCTTTACTGAAGACTCATCTCTTCTAGACACCTGCCCAGAGGGAGGAACATCGCCCACCTTGCCTGACGAGTGAAGAACATCGCCCACCTTGCCTGACGTGGGTTCAACCTCCTCGCCGCCCGGATGTACTCCAGGTTACGATGGTCAGTCAAAATGAGAAAAGGGTGTTTAGCCCCCTCAAGCCAATGCCTCCACACTTTCAGAGCTTGAACCACAGCTAACAGATGTGCCAGCACCGAAGCCGAAGTAAACAGGTCCTTCAGATGCCTAAAAGCCCTGTCCGCCTCAGCTGACCACTGCAGACGCACCGGTCCTCCCTTTAGCAAGGAGGTAATGGGAGCCGCTACCTGCCCAAAGCCCCGGATAAACCTCCGATAGTAATTGGCAAAACCCAAGAATCGCTGCACCTCCTTCACCGTGGTTGGAGTCTGCCAATTACGCACGGCCAAAATGCGGTCAATCTCCATCTCCACACCTGACGCGAACAGGTGGTGTCCTAGGAAGGAGATGGACTCTTGGAAGAACAGACATTTCTCTGCCTTCACATACATGTCATGCTCCAACAGTCTACCAAGCACCTGACACACCAGGGACACATGCTCGGCCCGTGTAGCGGAGTATATGAGAATGTCATCAATATACACCACTACACCCTGTCCATGCAGGTCCCGGAAAATCTCATCAACAAAAGATTGGAAGACTGAAGGAGCATTCATCAAACCGTATGGCATGACGAGGTACTCATAGTGCCCCGAGGTGGTACTAAATGCAGTCTTCCACTCCCTCCCGGATACGCACCAGGTTGTACGCGCTCCTGAGATCCAATTTAGTGAAGAAGCGCGCCCCGTGCAATGACTCCGTCATACTCGCAATCAGAGGTAATGGATAGCTGTATTTTATTGTGATCTGATTTAGACCACGGTAGTCAATGCACGGGCGTAAGCCACCATCCTTCTTCTTCACAAAAAAGAAACTCGATGACACAGGGGAAGTGGACGGCCGAATGTATCCCTGTCTCTGAGATTCGGTGACATATGTATCCATAGCCGCCGTCTCCTCCTGTGGCAGAGGATACACGTGACTCCGGGGAAGCGCAGCGCCTACCTGGAGGTTTATCGCACAATCCCCCTGTCGATGGGGTGGTAATTGAGTCGCCTTCTTTTTACAGAAGGCGAGAGCCAAATCGGCATATTCAGGCGGAATGTGCATGGTGGGAACCTGGTTTGGACTTCCCACCGTAGTTGCCCCTACGGAAACACCTACACACCTCCCCAAGCACTGACTTGACCATCCCTTGAGAGCTCTCTGTTGCCATGAAATAGTGGGGTCATGAGAAGTTAACCAGGGAAGCCCCAACACCACGGGAAATGCAGAAGAATCAATCAGATATAGACTAATTATTTCCTCATGCCCCTCCTGCGTCTTCATCCAGAGTGGCGCTGTGACCTCCCTAATCAGACCTGACCCTAAAGGGCGACTATCTAGGGCATGGATAGGGAAGGGCACATCGACTGGCACAATAGGAATCCCTAACGTACGGGTAAACTGACGATCAATAAAGTTCCCAGCTGTGACTGAATCTACTAGCGCCTTATGCTGGGAATGAGAAGAAAACTCGGGAAACACAACATTAATACACATATGCGCAACAGGGAGCTCTGGGTGAGTTGGGTGCCTACTCACCTGAGACGGTTCATCAGTGAGCTACCTACTGCCTCGACTCCTTGAAGGCCCTCCCCAGCACCGACCAGCAGTGTGTCCTCTGCGGCCACAGTTGGTGCAGGGGACGGCCCCTCTACCAGTCTCCCTCATAGCATCACCTCCGAGCTCCATAGGGGTAGGGTTGGAGGTGCTGGGGGATGGAATGGACGGCCCCTGATCAGGACATCCGCGGGTAGCCAACAGGTTATCCAGTCGAATAGACATATCCACCAGTTGGTCCAGGTTTAGGTTGGTGTCCCTGCAGGCCAATTCCCGACGAACGTCCTCCCTCAAGCTGCAACGGTAGTGGTCGATGAGGGCCCTCCTGCGCTG